TTTCAGATATTCTGTTATAAGCAACAGAAAATGGACTAATACACTAGGTTATTCTAATGAGGTGGCTTTTGTGTCACACTTTGAGAAAAACCAGCACTAGAGATTGTCAATATCAATAGTGACTCCTTCTGTAGGCTAGGCTAATTTTTAGTTCTTTCAAAACAAGCAATGGGGCTGAATTTCAGCTCCCCAAGAGATCTAGAGAGCAAAAGGCTATTGCCCCTCCCTCCCTTTTTTCTCCACAATGCCGTATTAATCAGTTTAGTTTTCTGTTACTTATAACTAAATACCTGAAACTGGGTAATTGATAAGAAAATGAAATTTATTTCTTATAGTTTTGGAGGCTGAGAAATCCAAGGTCGAGAGGCACATTTGGTAAGGGCCTTCTTCTTGCTGGGGGCTCTAAACAGAGTCCTGAGGTAGTGCAAATTACCACATGAGGAGAGGCTGAGCAAGAACACAGCTAACATGTTCGCTTGCTCCCCTTATGAAGCCACCAGTGCCACTCCTGTGATAACCTATTTATCTTAAACCCATTAATAAACGAATGGATTAATCCATTCATGTGGACAGAGTCCTCATGGTTCAATCACTTCCAAAAGGCTCCACCTTTTAAATACCATAGGCTGGTTTCCCACCCTCTGTAATCACTGTTACAAAGGGGATTAAGCTTTCACATGAGCTTTGGAGAGGACAAACATTTAGACCATAGTAAATATTCTGTACGAGTTTACAGTATTTCGCAACTTTTGGGTATAACCATAGTTTTCAGCTCTATGCTTATATGGTTTTAGCCCTCAGCTTATGAGATAAATTGTTTCTTTAATTATTTGGGTATTTTAAAATAAACTGAGCATTTAGAATTTTTAGGGATCACACAGAGGGATTTCTTGGCAACTGGGTAACTGCTTTAAAAGAGGGAGGTGTTCTGTTCCTCTTATAAACTCTCTTTAGGAAGAAATGATTTTTGGTGATGAATCTAATCATAATTCCATGACCTCATTTTTGGGGATCTTCCCCTGTTCTTTAACAGTTACATTAAAGAGCAAGCTGGCATGATTTTTGGGCAAAGATTTCTTATGAAAACTTTGAAAGAATTACATGTTCCATTTGTTGTGATAATCTTTCTGAGAAAAATGCATACGAATCTTGGTAGGACTTATGAACAATGGTTAAGAGTCACATTTTGATATTTTATTTTATTTTTTCAAAATGGAGAAGTGAGGGCCAGCCCGTGGCTCACTCGGGAGAGTGTGGTGCTGATAACACCAAGGCCCCGGGTTCGGATCCCATATAGGGATGGCCGGTTCGCTCACTGGGTGAGCGTGGTGCTGACAACACCAAATCAAGGGTTAAGATCCCCTTACCGGTCATCTTTAAAAAAAAAAAAAATGGAGAAGTGAATATTAAGGAACAATACTGTAATATATAATTCTTGAATAAATAATTTTGGTAATTTTATTTTATTTTATTATTATTATTTTTTAAAAGATGACCGGGAAGGGGATCTTAACCCTTGACTTGGTGTTGTCAACACCACGCTCACCCAGTGAGCTAACTGGCCATCCCTATATGGGATCCGAACCCATGGCCTTGGTGTTATCAGCACCACACTCTTCGGAGTGAGCCACTGGCCGGCCCGTAATTTTGGTAATTTTGGTAAATTTAAACTGTGGAAAATAAAATTAAAAACTCTAGGAACACTTATTCTATTTTATGTAATGAAGTGTTACCTGATTCTAGACTCTCAATAAAGCCAATTGAGATCTTAACTAAAAAAAAAAAATTAAAAATTAAAAACTCTACATTCTTAGTAGATAAGAGGGGATAGAAAAATGGAAATAAAAACCATAGTTAACTTGCGTTCAACAGTAGGAAATGAAAACAATTAGGCAAAAGAAACCATTTATTTCATTGGTAAAGATCTAGAAATATACCATACCATTTAGAAAATTGTTCTCATAAATAGGATCTGCTTCTATTCAAAACCTGTGACATGGAGTTCAGGGTTCTTGTTTGTGAACAACAGAAACCAAATCTGACTAACACTCCTAGAAAAGAAATTTACTGGAAGGATATCAGCTAATTCAAATAATCAACGCATATTTTACTGTAATTAAAAAAAGAAAAAAAGAATCAACGCAAAGCCTGGGGAAGGATAGGAACAAATAGAGGCCAGGCAGCAGGAACTGCAGACAAAGTCCTGCCCCAGCAACACTCTAGTTAGGGAATCTCTGTTGGCACCATATCCTCTGTTGTATGCTTCTCGCTATTACTGTTGGGTACTCAGTGCCATTATTTTCACAGTTTGGGAAGAGTGAGACCTCAAATACTCCCTCAACTTCAGTTTCCAAGAATAGAAAAACAGTTCAGATTTTCTTCGGCCTAAAAAGACAAACGAACAAACCAAACCAAATAAAACCAGTAAGATGAGGGAGTTTGCCTTAGTGGTCTAGACTTCCTACTCCATCCTCATTCCTATTTTCCTGTTCTTGTCCTTTTCAGATTTCCATTCTTCTTCATTTCTCTTTCAATTATCTTAAAGCAAAACTGAACCAAAACAAAAACAATACCTCTCAGGAAAGAGTTTTATGAACTTATTCACAGTAAATTGTTGGTGACCTATGAATTAAAATTAGTTTACTAATTTATTAGATGTAAAATATCTCAGCATTCTTTTTGTATTTATATTTGCACCTTATCTTTCTTTTTTTCTTTTTTTTGGCAGTGGCCAGTACAGGGATCTAACCCTGGACACTGGTGTTACCAGCTCCATGCTCTAACCAACTGAGCTAACCTGCCAGCTTCATTCTATTTATTATTTTCATTTGTTCACAATTTATATTTCTTCTTGGGATAATTTTCTATTTTTATGCAATGCTCATTTGTCAAATGGGTTCTTGATTTTTTTCCCATGTTCTTTTTAACTTTATCTGTGTTTTAATAGGAAACAGGTTTCATTACAAAGAATGGAACTGTAATGGAATTTCAGGTTTTGAAAATAAAATATGACTAAGTGAATGTACATGAAGCATCATTTAAATTCAAGAACCTCCAGCTTTGGAGATTGGTAACAGAAAGCATCACATATCAAATGAACCTAGTTCAAGAGAGATCTGGATGGCTCTTCCATTCATTAAAGGGTTTGTTTTGATGTGTCTCCACTCCTTTGTTACTACATCAGGTTATTTAAAATCATAATATGCTATATTGCCTCAGATAGTGCTGTGGATTGAATCAGAAAACTCATTAAAGCTTGACCCCTGTTGTAACAGTTCTAGGAGGGTGGGAAATCTGGTTATGGTTTTGAAAGGTGGGGTCTTTAAGAGGTGATTAGATTGTGAGGACTGTGCTCTGTGAATGGATTGATCCATTCATAGAGTAATGGGCATCATTCTAATGGGATACCCTGAGCTGCTGTAGAGTCACCACGCAGAAGGGGGCCCTCACCAGATGTGTTCCCTGGACTTTGGACTTCCCAGCTTCTGAAACTGTAAGAAATACATTTCATTTCTTTATAAATTACCCAGTTTCAGGTATTCTGTTATAAGCAACAGAAAATGGACTAATACAGATAGAAAATGACCTTTCCACACATTTGCAATGGAATTGCAGAGGAAGGTTGAATATCCTAGCCAGCAAACTACTCCAGTCAGATTTTGGTGTATTTTGAATAAATGAATAATTTTTAAAAATTTATGGTGGCTGGCCGGTATGTGGATCCTGACTCTTGACCTTGCTGTTATCAGCACCAGGCTCTCCCAAGTGTGTTGACCGGCCAGCCCCCTTTTTCTCTTTTCATACCATTCATCCATTCAACAAATATTTACTGAACCCTTACTTAATGCTTAGGACCTGTCAGTATGGTACTTTTTGTAGTTGAGCTGGTAAATTAGCTTGTGAGGAGAGAATACACTGAGGACAGTATAAATTCACAACTCGGGCCCAATACTGGGTCAACCGACTGACAAGACTGGTCGCTAATTATAACTCTGAAATCCTTCAATACAGTTAACGTCCCTAAATATCAAAGTAATAATGGTTTTAGGGCCTAAAGAAGAAAGTGTAGCTCAGAGAAGTATTAATAGAAAATGTGCTAAGGCTCTTCGAAATTCTCTTCCAATCAAAGGTGACTTGCCTATTTATAATCTGACAGATTCATAATTTCGGAAGATCAAGCTATGTTGGGCTGCGCCCTTCGGCCGGCACATACCATGGTCACAGGCTGAAAGCCTAACTGCTTCGTGCTCTTTATTTTTACGCGTATACCAGCGTTCCAAAATGCCGAAGTGGTAACGCTTTAACAAGGTCGCCAGGAAAGCGTCACCCCGCGTAGCCAGCCTCCCAAACAGCTTAAGCGGCTTCTGACTACAGCGGCGTGAGCTCGGAGTTGATCAGAAACCACTCAGGAAGGGGATTTAGATCGCGGCCATTTTTCAACAATCTAAGTGCGTTCGGCATTCTTAATAGAGAGCCAAAGCGACACTTCCTAGTCTGCAGCTGGGCGTCCAAGAAGAAACTCAACGCCTCCCCGCAGAGGGGACTAGGATCTGCGACCTCAGCCGCCTCTTGCCTTCTCGTTTTTTCCTCAGTGTGAAATTGTTTTGGGCCTGGTCTGGGTCGGTCACACAGAAAGAATGGACCAGATGGGCTAAGTGTAGCAGGAATTAGGGGCGACAGTGAGCTCTAGAGTCCACTCAAAACGAGGCCGAGACGCCAGCGAATCCCACTGCGTAGCCGAACGATCTCACGGCCTAGCGTGACACCAGCCCAGCTTCTTACCGCCACCCAGGCGGTCTGTGCTACGGGCTCGAGGGCGGAGCCACTAGATCTTTGCGCGAGACCAGCCGCGCGATTTCCCACAGAGCCTCAGGCAACGTCTCAGCGGCGGCCAGGGACTCGGTCTAGGGCGGAAGGGTGGGCGGGGCTTGCCCAGATATTTAGCGGCAAACGAGGCCACGCCCTAAGTCGGAAGTGACGGAGAAGAGCTAGCGCGTCGAAGCTACCTCTATGGTTTTCCTCTCGTTCTTGAGTCGGGAGATGGCCGCGGTGTGGTTACAACGGAGGTAAATCCTGGGAACCGTGCTTCGGCTTGTCAGGTAGGCCTCGCGCTGCATTCAGATTACTCAAAGGGCAGCGATATCGAGGACGAGTGAATATTGTAGACTCCTTTGTGGGTAGTGACGAGTTGGCGGCGTTAAGAGAATCTAGGAGTCGTTGCGCTGTTATTTATGCGTTTTTCCGTCAGCTTCCCTCAGGTTTTCGAGGCACTACCGGCCGAAAAGGTGGGGGGAGTGGGGTGAGTAGCGTGAACGGTGAGCGCGCGCGGGGTTGCGAACCTGGCTCGAGACCCAGAGACCGCGCGGCCTTCCCGTGCGCGTGCGCATATTTCTATCTTCAACCCTTCCCCCATTTCTTCGGCACAGACCCCTGCGCGCGCCCGACTGAACGCTGTGCGCACGCGCGCTTGCTCTTTCCTCCTTTCCCCGCCTCCGGCGCCCGCGGCTTCCCGTGCTGCAACTTGTGGCCGCCTCTGATTGGCTGGGAGCGCTACCTTTCTTTTGGGGCTTTGGTAAAACAGCTGACCTGCAGCAACGTTCATTGGGTAGGCCGACCCTTTCTTTTTCCTGTCTTTAAACTTTTCATCGACTTCAGGCCACCCGTAGCTTTACGCCTCATTTTTGTTATTCTGTTTGGTTTTAGGGTCGTGTGCTGGTTTTAGGATCGTGTACTGCTGTCCCTCGTAACTGACCCCGGTACTTGTCCCCCTGGCAACCCACTGTGTTTTGAAGCGAACGCGCACTTACGATTCGCAGTCGGTGCGTAGTTCCTGTTTCCTAGCTTGGGGATCAGGTTTTAGCTGATGGCTCTAAGATTGGTCATGCCACACTCGGGCCGAAAGTGCAGTTCTCCATGAGTACAGAAGCGAAGCCGTGTCCTTTAGGGAAGTGATTCAGCCCATTATATCATATCAGAAATGTTGCAACCATGATTGGTAGACAGGTTGGAATAAATGTGTGGGAATGGCGATTTGAGGTTATGGACTTTGCCTTCATTTAAATACATAAGTTAGTTTGATTTACTTTTAAGATTTATCTCTTCAGAATCAAGCAGCAGTACCGGCAGCAAATTTTCTACATCAAAATCTCTTTTTTAGCGTTTTAGAATTGGAAAAAAATGACTGAAGTTGAAAGCAAATGTGGCTAAACCTAAAGAAAAAAAAATCAGCTTCTTTAGACGTATATCCTATTGCAGCAGCGTCTTTTAAATTTTTTTGTTATTAAAAAGCAAAACAAAATTCCTCGTTCCTCGTGTGAATTCTCATTCCAGTTCAAGTCTAGTCAGAGTGGTTAGGCTACTATTTGGACATCTTTTACATCAGTAAAACTGCTACAAGTTTATTTAAATTTTTGTGTGATCCTAATTAATTCAGGATAAATCATTGGGTGGGAGGTATTGTGTGTCTCATGGTAACAATCTAAAGCCTATCTAGTGATGGCTTGTAGCATCCCTTTTTAAGGATTTCACAGGTTCACTATCATATTGTGATGAACATTGTAATCCCCTTTAATTTAGATAATTAAAATAGTGACAAAGGAGACTGTTTAGCTAGAGCCGGTTCTTAGAAGATATATAGTATTTTAAGACTTGTCAGACCTGTAAAAAGTACTACTTACTGGTAGGCTCAGGTCTAGTTGAATTTGTTGAACGACTTGTGGGCAGCAAGCTAGGTTAATGTGTGATGAGAAGACATGGAAATAGAGGTTTTTTCAGTTCTACATATAGGAGTTTTCAGAAACTACATTTGAAGTCATTAGTTGAACAGTAGCTAAATTTTGCTGTGTTTACTGTGATTAGTTTTTTAAAGAAACAGGTAGATAAGGAAATCAAGAGGACCAGCATATATCTGGGTAATAAGTGTAAATGTTGGGGATATACTTGTTGGATATGAATTTGCTCATTTTTCACATCCAGCTTTTTAAACAATGGTCATCAATATTAGCTCAGAGTCATAAACATTTAATATTTTGTTTGACGGTTCCCAAGACTTTAAAACAATCTACTGGCACGAAGGTAATAATACTAACCTACATTTGTGTAATATTTTGGCGTTTTCAAACACCTTAATTTTACTTGATCTAGTATTTCACCATTTTCTAGGTAGAGGCTAAAAAGGTAGAAAACTTAAGTCCACATAAACCAGGAAGTGGCACAACCTAGTCTAGAATGCAGGTATTCTCATTTTCTGGTCTGTGCTCTTCCTTTTAGCAGAATGTGTACTAAGAACTAAAAATTTGTGACTAAACCTTTCTTTATTCCTTTTTGAGAACTTTTAATTGTGGAAAATTTCAAGCAAAAAAATAGGATAGTTCAGTGAACTTCCATCTAGGTTTAATAATTAGTAACATTTTACCAATCTCGTGTAATATTCTTTGTTTACTTTTTTAGTGGACTATTTTAAAGGAAAATTCCAGACATTCTATTAAGCATTTCCGCAAAGACAATGTAATGCTTATTAATGGTATATCAAAAATTTTAGTGTAACCTTATATGTAAGAATCACTTGAAGTAAACTTTATGGATAGTCTGCAGAAAGACTCACAGACAAGGTTTACCAATAATCATAGCTAATGCTTGATTGCATTCCATGTACCAAACATTAAGCTAAGCTGTTTACATTCATTAGTTCATTTAGCCTCAAACCTATAAGTATCATTATTAGCCTTATTTTACACCTGTAGATATAAAGGTGAAAGAGTTTAAGGTAATTTGTCCAGTGTTAGGTACCGAATTAATGGCTGAGCCAGGTTTTGAACCTAGTCTAGCTGGTGTAATAGTCGTGGGATTTTTTTTTTTTTTTAGGATTTTTAAAGATGTGAATAGCAATAATTTGATTACAAAAATCTGGGACCAAAACTCCTTGAGAGTGCTGAAGTGGAGACTTGGATGAAGTATGCTTGAAATGGTAACCTAAAGAATCCATTTTGGAGGGTCTCATCTTGGGTATTTTGTCAAGCCCAGTTTCTTTGCTCTTCTAATCATTTGTGTTCTAGCTAGTCATTATGTATTATTTCATTAAAGACAGGCTTTGTTAAGATATTTAAGAATTTTACTTTTAAAAATAATGCCTGATTTATTTTATCTTGTTCCTCACTGGTTAAATCAATTTCATAGAGATGCATGAGGCAGTTTATTCCTCATCTCTAATTACAAATGGAATGTGTTAGTAAGTGATCTTGGTGTAATAAAGGGAAGATTGCTATGGTATTTTGAAATATACATTTGGGTTTTGGCCATATCAGGCAACTATTAGGGTATTGGAGAGAGAGAGCACAGGAGTTGGAATCAGGAAATTTCAGTCAAATTTTGGATTAACCATTTACAGTGTTATTATGGGTCCTAAAAGGGCAAATATATTTTGTGTTTTCTCCCCAAATTTGCCCTTCTCCCATATGCTTGAGCCCAAAACTTAGAACTTAGGGGCACTATTGATTTTTCATTTTTTCCTCACTCCCTGTGCTCCATACCCCCAACAGACTATGAGCAAGTCAAGTCAGATCCTGGATTTGCCTTTTTTCTATTGCTACCACCTTATTCAGGCAACCATTATACAGTATTTAATTTCAGCCTTCTAATTGGTCTCTTGGCTGGTGTCTATCCTCTACCCAGGAGCCATCTTAAAATGTAAATCAGATGGTGTGACTCCACTGATCAAATCTTCAAGGGGTTTCCCAGTAGAGTTAGAGTAAATCCATACTCCTTACTTTGGCATACTAGATAGTATTTGATCCGGTCCATTCCTATTTCTCCCTTATCTTATACCCTTAACTCCTTGATTACAGTGCTTTAACATTCTTACTGGTCTTTCTGTCCTGAATTTGCTAAGTTTGTGTCCTCTGTCTAGAGTGCTCTTCGTTCAGTGGATCATTGCAACGTTCCTCGTTTTTAGCTTAAATGTTACCTCCTTAAAGAGGGCACAGGATCCACTTAAGTAGTCCCCCCTCACCTCCCCCTCCTGACACATCAGTTTGTGTTTTTTCCCCCACCTTCCAGTGCTATTTGGTGTTTTTTTTTTTTTTTTTTTTTTTTCTTCCCCTCACTAAATCTTGGAGAGTAGGGAACTTAATGTTTCACTTAAAATGCTATATTCTCAGCACTGGTATACTAGTACTTGGCATGTAATAGGCACTTAGGTAAATTCAGATGTATTCTGAAAGCTTAGAGTTCTCTTCATTTGAAGGATGGCATTAATATGTAGCTCATGAAATTACCAAGATTAAATGAGATGATTTTATTTAAAGTCACCTACACAGTTCTTGGCATGTGGTTGGAATTTAGATACTTAGTTTACTATGATTGCTTGCTGAAACTTGTTCTTTTCTAGTTGGATTTTGGAGGGCAGGGACTTCTTACATAGTCATGTCTCCCATAATACTTAGCATAGTGCTTTCTACACAGACTTTCATGTTTAAAAAAAATTAGCTGAGCTGATCATAGTCTTTGGTACCGACTGTTGTGTCACATTTTACATTTCATTTGAGTTCTTCCTGTGGATACTTGAATATGTTATAGATTGTAAACAAGAATAAATACTCAATGGTGTAACAGCCTACATACAGTACTTCCTCTCTCAGTTTTCTATTTCTAGTATATATTTTATTGGAACTTCAAAAAATCATGACTTGGAGTAAAGAGAGATTTGGTAGTTGATTTTTCTCTGAAATAGTCTTTTCGGATTGTTAGGGGAAGCATTAGCTAAAATGAGCCTTGTACCACTTTGACTTCTAGGTCAGAATAAAGTTTCATAACGACACCAATTTGGAAGAGTACCATTTTTCTCTACCCACTTGGGGATTTTGATATTTTAAAAACTAAACTTCTGTGAACTTTGGAAATCCTTTTGTGTTTGTACCTGGGCCTACCTGGTTTTTTGTTTTTGCTACTTTTTATTTTAGAATGTTTTCCATAATTACTAGGTTCCTATTCCTCCTTCCTAATTTGAACTTCAGATAGCTTATTTATCTCCCTGGCTGTAGGGCTATGGTTATTTAGGGGACACCATTCTTTTTTTTGACACCATTCTTGATTCACAGTTTAATGTTGTTATTTTTTGTATATCCAATTTTAATGCATTTTAAAAGTTGGATTTTTACTTGGTAAGATTCATGGATTTTCATTTTCATGTATTTTTTTTTTTTTCATTGAAGCTTGTTTATAAATTCTTTGAGTGCTGGCATATATCAATCATGCATTCTTTAATTTAGTTTCTGCTCACCTGGTGGTTTTTGACTATCCTTTGCATGTGATTGATAATCTCTGAATATCAAGGCTGATCTCTTCAGTATTGATAACTTATTAATATTTTGTGCAAAAGTTAAATTTATTTGCATAGTAATAATAATTGGTTTTGGAAGAGTATTGACTTCCAATAGATACTTTTTTATTGTGGTCTGTTCTGTTCGAATGTCTGTACATGTATCAAAATGTTTTTAGGCACAAAGCTTAGAGTTACCGTGATGGCAATTAAACATTAATTTAAAATATCAGTATCAGGTGAAACTAAACTGTATGAAAGGAAGTGCCAAGAGAATAAGTAGCAGAGCATTAAAATAAACTGGTCATATTTTAGATGTTATAAACAGTGGCTTTATGAATATTAACTACAGATTGCATGATATGTTTTGATATACCAAGATGGCATTATGCTAGCTATTTTGGAATTTTCTGATAGAATGACAACATGTCTTCTGTTTTCTGAAGCCCAAATTGCTAGAATTGGAATTGAAGTTTTTAAAATATTTTTTTTTTCCTTATTTTGGAATTCAAGTATTTAAATTAAAAAGTTTAAGATGTTCTCAGTTTCATGATGCATTGCTGCATTGTGATTAAAAAAAGTTGAGGCTGGCCAGTTAGCTTTTCTGGTTAGAGCATGGTGTTATAACACCAAGGTCAAGAGTTTGGATCATGCCCTTACTAGCCAGCTGCCAAAAAAAAAAAAGTCAAGCTTTAAGCTTTTGTGGTTAAAATTTACTGTTTCCTAAATCAGTTTCCCCTTTCCTGAAATGCTAAGTGCCTTTATTATTTTACTGCAGTGCTCAATATAGGCATTGTAAGCAGTAGATATTTAATTTACCATAAATCAAACTCATTTTTTATCTTTGCTAGGAATTTGAAGTTAGAGTTTAATTTCTCAGAACATTCTCTCCAGGAAGAATTGTACAGTATCTCAAAGACTTCACTTGACTTCTGGATCCTGCATAAAGCCTGAGGTAAGTAGCATTCATTATTTTAGTTTTCAGTTTTGGCTTATTTGAGAAAATGTGACTACTGAACTGATGATTCAGGTGGAGTGATTAAAAGTGATTTGGTTGTTTTGATGATTTGTATGAAGTAAGCCATACTTTAAGTTAGGTTTAGGAAAAAGATTTCCATTTCTCCTGTTTCTATTTTGTGTATCTGCTTTTTCTACTTTCATTAAACATATCTACTAAAAGACTCAGAACACACAAAGCTATTTAAAGACAAAGACAAAAAGACCCTGCTACTTAATTCATTTTTCCTTTATATAATAAAAGAAGTTCCATAACACAGCTATTTTTGCCCTACTGCGCTGTTAAGGTAGTTAAAATTGATTGCCTATTATGTGCCAAACACCGTATTAAGTGTATCAACTCATTTATTCCTCTGTGAAGTGTAGGTACTGTTATTTTCTTCATTTTACCTTCGGGGAAACAGAGGCTCAGAGAGATTAAGGAGCTTGCCCAAGGTTACACAACTCTTAACCTGGATTTGAATCCAGGTATAGTCTAAATGTAGAGGTCGTGTTCTTAGCTGCTTTTAGCTAAGTGTATTTTTGCAGGAGGGTAGAAAAAACGTCAATCCAAATTTCTTTTGGACTGATAATTTTTGATAGGTATGCTTTCTTACCACTCATCTTGAAATCTCAAGTGTGTTTATTAAAAATTTTCCTTTGTGAAGATTAGATCTTAGAGATAAGTAAACCTGACTGTTACTGATTTCTCTACCCACTGAGGTCTAATTATACCATTAGATATACCATGTAGTGTTTTAAAAGTTAAAAACTGGTGCCTAAGTTTTCTTTTTTTGTAGTTCTAATATCTTTTCTTGCAGTAATCTCTCCAGTTTCTTTAATTCTTTTTCATCTTACCAAAAAGCTACAGGGTGACGTAGGCATTATCATATAAGTCCATTTTTATTCTGCAGTCATGATTACTGAGAACTAGAGCCATGTCTCCTGCTGTTCAGAGACTTAGTGACCTTTATTCTACTAGGAGACTATCCAGTACCACTCTAGGCAGTAATTATATATATGGAGAGGTCAAGTTAGTCCCATTTCAGGGCTATAAAGCACTATGATGAATGTGGTTTTTTTTTTTTTTTTCAGTATTGTGGCACTTATTTTTTTTGTTTCAAGTTCCTTATGTGTAATACTCTGACATTATTTGTCTCTTTTACAGGAAAGGTAGCCAGTTGTATTGGGCATGGAATAACATCTAACATGCTGCTGCAATCTCATATCATTGCTCTTTCTGGCTTTTGCAGCTGCTGCCTTTTTGGATTGAGGCACATGGGTGGGGCAGTCCATAGAAATCTTCTGTTGTGTCTTCAGTATACAGTACCTGTCATGCAGGTGAAAAGAGTTTTAGTCAGGGATAATTGACCTGTCTTCTAAATACTCATTTGGAGAGAATGATAATGATGAATAATATCTTTAGAGAAACTTACAAAATTTAGTTTGTATATGAAAATAAGTAAATAATAATGTGAAACTTCTTCAGTCGTATTGTGATTTTAACCTTTTTTGCTCTTCATTTGACTAGGAGAAAAGAAATGGGTCGCTCCAACTCTAGATCACATTCTTCAAGATCAAAATCCAGATCACAGTCTAGTTCTCGATCAAGATCAAGATCACACTCTAGAAAGAAGAGATACAGGTGAATTAATTCTTTTGATAATGATAATTATATCAGTTAATATTTATTGAATGTTTGCTATATAAAGACACAGTGCTAAACCCATTAATATATTTTATTTTCAAAGAATCTTATGAAATGGATCTATTGTTAACGTCAGTTTAGAGTTGGAGAAATTGAGAATTGTCCAAGTTGCAAACTAGTTACTGGCAGGGCGTGGTTTAGAATCCAGTTAGTCTGATTCCATATCTCAGATTTTACTGTACTGTGCTAATATATGGTGGATTTCTTTGTATTTATCAATAATGTTAAGAGATGAGTTGGATAATGTAAGAATTATTTGGCAGTAAAACAATCTGCATATTGTTTCATAGCTTCTTATTTCTGACTCTAAATTCTAACAAAAGAATAACTTCATTTTTTAAGTTTAAAAATGATGAACTCTGGTGGTTTTTCTTCAAATAATAATGCATACTTAGCACAGAAAATAGAAACCAGAAGTTGAAAATAAAAGTAACCATAATTCCATGAAGAATTAAAACTAGTTTGCGACTTTTCTGTATTCTTTTACTAGGCCTAATTTTATATTATGTATATACTTAACCAGTAATATTTCACTGTATATAGTATTGTGTAATCTTTTTGCCCATTTAACAATACATGATGCTATGGCATTAAATATTCTTTTACACTAACACTTTCAAGTGCCTGCCTAGATGTCCTATAATTTGCCAATACGTCCTATTGTTGGAGATGCAGATCCCCCTTCCTCTGTTTTCTGTGCGTTCATTCCTAAGACCTTTCATTTGTTCATTATTTACCTTAGAAGTGAGACTTTTTGGTTAGAAACAGTAAACTTTTATACAAATGATTTTTTTTTTAAATGTACACTTTTACCTTTGACAGTTTATTTACATGTTATATTAAGCCAGAAATTTTTAGAGTGGTAGGATGGAATATTTTATTTTTCTTGTATTGATATTTATTTCATTTTTAGTTCTAGGTCCCGTTCCAGGACATATTCAAGGTCTCGTAGTAGAGATCGTATGTATTCTAGAGATTATCGTCGAGATTACAGAAATAATAGAGGAATGAGACGACCTTATGGGTACAGAGGAAGGGGGAGAGGGTATTATCAAGGAGGAGGAGGTAGATATCATCGAGGTGGTTATAGACCTGTCTGGAATAGAAGGCACTCTAGAAGTCCTAGACGAGGTCGTTCACGTTCCAGGAGTCCAAAAAGAAGATCTGTTTCTTCTCAAAGATCCAGAAGCAGATCTCGCCGTTCATATAGATCCTCTAGGTCTCCAAGGTCATCCTCTTCTCGTTCTTCATCCCCATATAGCAAATCTCCTGTCTCTAAAAGACGAGGGTCTCAGGAAAAACAAACCAAAAAAGCTGAAGGGGAACCCCAAGAAGAGAGTCCTTTGAAAAGTAAAACACAGGAGGAACCGAAAGATACATTTGAACATGACCCATCTGAATCTATTGATGAGTTTAATAAATCAGCCACATCTGGTGATATTTGGCCTGGTCTTTCAGCTTATGATAATAGTCCCAGATCACCCCATAGTCCTTCACCTATTGCTACACCTCCTAGTCAGAGTTCATCTTGCTCTGATGCCCCTATGCTTAGTACAGTCCACTCTGGAAAAAATACCCCTTCTCAACATTCACATTCCATTCAACATAGTCCTGAAAGGTCTGGGTCTGGTTCTGTTGGAAATGGATCTAGTAGATATAGTCCTTCTCAGAATAGTCCAATTCATCACATCCCTTCACGAAGAAGCCCTGCAAAGACAATCACACCACAGAATGCTCCAAGAGATGAGTCTAGGGGACGTTCCTCATTTTATCCTGATGGTGGAGATCAGGAAACTGCAAAGACTGGAAAGTTCTTAAAAAGGTAAAAACAAATGTAGAGAATTTAGATTATAATATTAATGCTTTTGTTCTTTAAATTTTATTTGGAATTATAAAGACTTAAAATCGTATTGTGTATTTAGCTGTTTTTACTCATGACTTTATAATTTCAAATTGTCTTTACTTATATACCTGGTAAACTTTGGAAGCTAAAGTGTTTTAGTGTAAAAACTAATTTCTGTTTTTCCTTCTAATTTTCTCCATTTTCCATCAGTCCAGAATTAAAAGTATAAATGAGGAGAAATTGAGTAGCATAAAGCATAACTAATGATTTATGTTAAAAAAATTTTTTTTTTTTTTATAAAGATGACCGGTAAGGGGATCTCAACCCTTGGCTTGGTGTTGTCAGCACCACGCTCAGCCAGTGAGCAAACCGGCCATCCCTATATAGGATCCGAACCCGTGGCCTTGGTGTTATCAGCACCGCACTCTACCGAGTGAGCCACGGGCCGGCCCTTATGTTAAAAAATTTTTAGAAATTAATTTTATGTTAGGGCATTGAGAGCTATTTTGTTCTTTTTGCCATTAGCATGTGTCCTGTATAAGTAATGCTGTCATATTACAGGTTCTTACTTGTGTGTATTATAAACAATCCAGCTGTCAATATTTAATAAATTCTGCATGATTATGGAAAAGACAATGGTATTTTTCACTGACTCTAATGACATTTTAAACACACTTTGTTTAAATTCTGATTTCAAGGGCCGGCCTGGTGGCGCACTGCTACAGTGCTCCGCTTGGGAGCGTGGTGGCGCTCCCGCCGAGGGTTCGGATCCCACATACAGACTGGTTCCCTCTCACTGGCTGAGCGAGGTGTGGGAGCAACACCGAGTGTTGCGATCCCGTTGCCGGTCCCGGTCCGGTCCGGGCGCGACACTGAGGGTTGCAATCCGTTGCCGGACACGAAAAAAGACAAAAAGGAAAAAAAAAAAAATTCTGATTTCAAATGTTGCTGAGAGCTGCTAACAAAGTTATTCAAAATTGCTTGCTAATGTAGTGTGATTGACTTAAAAGTGAAGAAATAGAGCAAATGTGTTATTGTGTAGCACTGTATAATCTAGAATGAATTTTATTATTGAATTGATACTTAGTTTCTGTTTAATATTGCCAGAAATCATTTTTTGGAGCAAAGGATATGAACGATTTTGTGATTCACATAGAGTATTAAATACCTTCAACTGCATTGAAGTCCATTTGTATGAGCTCTTGTTTATATTAATAGATAAGAAGTAAAATAGTCTGAAATCTTGAGTGTAAGTAGAATTTTAATTAGGTATATGTATTGTCTGTTTAGTGGTTCTTAACCTCAAAAATGAAACAGGCTGCATTGTGCATTATAGGATCTCTATAGAAATTTGGATTTGTTAGTGCAGAATTGTGGACTTTGACTAAATAGCACAGGTTTTTGTAGATGACTTTATCTTAAAAGTCAGTACATTCTTTCTGAAAGTGGAGTCTGAAAAAACACTTTTCAGTAGGGTTATTTTACTGCTGGTCCTGTGGTATTGGGTAACACATTTAAATATACAAGTTACCTACAGTGAGTACAATCCAGAGTTACTATCCTCTTCTTTGCTTATTCACAGGTTCACAGATGAAGAGTCTAGAGTATTCCTGCTTGATAGGGGTAATACCAGGGATAAAGAGGCTCCAAAGGAGAAAGGATCAGAGAAAGGGAGAGCAGAGGGAGAATGGGAAGATCAGGAAGCTCTAGATTACTTCAGTGATAAAGAGTCAGGAAAACAAAAGTTTAACGATTCTGAAGGGGATGACACAGAGGAGACAGAGGATTATAGACAGTTCAGGAAGTCAGTCCTCGCAGATCAGGGTAAAAATTTTGCTACTGCGTCTCACCGGAATACTGAGGAGGAAGGACCCAAGTACAAGTCCAAAGTTTCACTGAAAGGCAGTAGAGAAAGTGATGGATTTAGAGAAGAAAAAAATTATAAACTTAAAGAGACTGGATACGTAGTGGAAAGGCCTAGCACTACTAAAGATAAGCACAAGGAAGAAGACAAAAGTTCTGAAAGAATAACAGTGAAGAAAGAAACTCAGTCACCTGAGCAGGTAAAATCTGAAAAGCTCAAAGACCTCTTTGATTACAGTCCCCCGCTACACAAGAATCCAGATACACGAGAAAAGTCTACCTTCAGAGAGGAGAGCCCACTTAGGATCAAAATGATAGCCAGTGATTCTCATCGTCCTGAAGTCAAACTCAAAATGGCACCTGTTCCTCTTGATGATTCTAACAGGTAATTCCACATTGATCCCCAGTAAATAATATGGATAGTTAGTTAATATTTCACCTAGTTATTTTGTTTTCTGAATATACCATTTTCATATTCAAACAAATGGTGTATTTTGTTTGTGTGTGTTATCAATATGTTCCAGACCTGCTTCCTTGACTAAAGACAGGCTACTTGCTAGTACACTTGTCCATTCTGTCAAGAAGGAGCAAGAATTCCGGTCCATCTTTGACCACATTAAGTTGCCACAGGCCAGCAAAAGCACTTCAGAGTCATTTATTCAACACGTTGTGTCCTTGGTTCATCATGTTAAAGGTATGCTTAGTATGTTTACTGTTGTGAATTAAATTTCTCTTGCATGCAAATAAAAAAATGAGTGGTCAAGTTTAATAATTAATGTACTCCAGAGCTAGCAGGTATACCTCAATACCATTAAAATTTTGGAAAAATGAAGTCTCATGGAAGATATACCAGTCTTACTAGCATTGAAACTTATTCAGATATTGAATAAAAAGTGATCGAAATGCTAGAGTTATAAAAACATACCCTAAAAATCTATATCATGATAAAATGGTGTAAATTTGCTTAATGCTAAATGTTTTCTTAAAATGTCATTATAATGTGTTTGGAGTGCAGAATGCTTATAAGTTATCCTTCATTGCATGTCTGTGACTTGTGATAATATACTTTTGGCACAGATTTATAACAACTTGAGGCAGTATTATTACTGAGTATTATTTACTAAGAATAAAGAAACCTGAAATCAGTGGAAAAACAGTATTAATTTCCTATTTTCTTTTTATGCTACTTAATTGGTTGTAATACTTAATTTTTAAAAATGATTATAAATAAACTAGAAGAAAATTGATCAGGATTTTTAAAGAGGAAAAAAGTTCAAGAAATTTAAGAGTATATTAGATGAATATTGATTATATGAGTAGTGACTAATTAGGATAATAATGATCATGTTTCTTTAGGTCCTGAAGATAAGGGTGTTCATTTCAACTAAAGTAATGACTTTCTGTTTTCACCAATACATAATTCTAGTTTCAGAGTTACTAATGATTTTTAAAGGTTTTTAGGGTATGATTTTTTGGGCAATTAGGTTAAGGTTTGTTTTTGTTATTTTGTTTTTAATGTTTAAAAGGCATCTTACTATGAAACAGGTTCTTTCCCAGGAACCTCTGTGGCTGTTGGTCTTAAAAACCTTTTTTTTTTTCAAGTTTATCTTTTGACATGAGAATAACTCATAATAATAGCTCAAACTTGTCACTAGCAATTCTTTATGTACTTTGTATTTTAAAACAGTGAATAGTTAATTTCTTTTTGGCTGCAAGTATTTAAACATGGTAACAAGTGTTTTGCTGTTTGGCTGTAAGTACATCTATGAACCAGTTGATGACCATATTACTGTGGTACATAAAATATGAAACATTTCTTTTTTTCTTTTTTTTTTTTTTTTCATCTTTTTTGACCTGTCTCCACATTTTACATTTTATTGCTGAATTTTGAGATCAGGTTTTCATAAATTTTTTCCTTTTTCATTTTCTTTTTCCTTTTTTAAAAGAATTGTAGTTATGTTTCATAATTGGTATTGTGCAACCAGTCTGAACAGCTCTTTCTTTATATAGAGCTGAAAATGCCCAGTGATGTTTTCTTTTTCATTGTAACTAGGTCCTGGAATATGTTTTGAAATGGCAAAATCCATGTTTCAAAGTAAAATAGCTGTTGAAAGATACAGGCAAAGTTGAATCTTCTGTCTTCCTGGCAAAAATGGCATAAAAACTGAGTTGCTAGCTCAAATTCCTGGGTTTCATGGAATTATGATTGAGGCACTACCCTTGTAGTGGCCGTTTCAAGTTTTAATGATTGGTTATGAGACATGTGCTGGATATTGGGCGGTAAGTTGACACAGATGTATGTTGACCTGTTAAGCAGATAGCTTGCCATAATGTAACATTTCATAGCTCATAACTTAATACGTCTATTTTACATTTACAGAATATCTTGAAGAGGTTTAAAAACTAATCAGTATTGATATTAGTAACTTTAAAATTATTTAAAGAAAGACAACAGTACCAAATGTGCTGTCAGATTTGCCAAGATGCCAGATTTTTGGAATGATTAGTCAATGTTAACTGACTTAAAAATATTTTTCCAATTGAATGGAAGTATTCAGTTTTTTCTTAAATCCATTTCTGTTAATATGTCACCATAGTTCTTAGTGAAATAAGTTTTAGTTTACTTGACCCAGTTTTGTAGTTATTTCCATATTTTTTGTTTTCTGCAAGTGATTAGTTGAAGTACCTTCATTGGTTCATATTGGCAAGGTAATATAGACATCCACATATTAGTGTTCCTTTTTGTTCTGTTTGAGGAAGTAGTGCATTAGTGAAATGGAATTATTCCTCTTGCTTTAACCTATTAATTTTTCTTGGATTATATGAAGTATTGACCAGGGATCTGTGAGGAACTTTGCAAACACCTTTTGAGGTACAAGAATTTGAAGGGAAAGGGTTGGAGGTTTTTTTTAACACTTGATTCTCTTCTGCTAGGTTTCTTGAGCATTTTTTTTTTTTTTATTTATTTTCATCTGCTACATGCCCTTCTGTCACAACTGAAACTCCCTCTTAAAGATAACTAACTGGGCAGTATTTCTCCTAAATCAACAGAGCAATACTTCAAATCAGCTGCACCGACCCTAAATGAGCGGTTCACTTCGTATCAGAAAGCCACTGAAGAACATAGTACCCGGCAAAAGAGCCCTGAGATACACAGGTATGTGTACTATTGAGTTAGCGTATAAAAATGTTGTTTTGATAGGAAGACACTGTTTAAACAAGATTATGTAGGAAGTGTGCTGTCATAATGATGAAATAAACTTTGGTGTGATTTCATTTATACTTTGAATAGATGTGTTTCCAAGTCTTGAAAATTTTATAATTTATTCTTTTTTAATTTTCAGTTTACTTGTTTCAAACTAGTTGTTAGAACTTAAAACACTTACCACTCTGCAGTATGGAATTAAATAGGTACCAGTTCATTTGCCTTTTGGGAAGGGGACAGACACTAGAGTAACCCTTGAATTTACTTCCAGTAAGTTTGTGAAATAAAAATGCTTGTTGAGAAGTAGAACTATTTTTCATAAAAAGAGCATGAATGTTGAACTTAAGACAATTGTGTTGAAATCTTGGCTCTGTCACTTCATTTGCACTATGATGAACAAATTATTTAATTTCTGGACATCAGTTTTTCTCTCTACAAAATAAGGGTAATAATGCCCACTTCCTTCAGGGTGGTGTTGACAATTAGTGGTATTGGTTATAAAGTATCTAATGATGCTAAGTACATAGTAGGTGTGGTTTTGGTGGTGACTGCTAAAGCAGCACTGGGAAGTTGCAACTGATAGTAGTTTAAAAAGGCAAGGCAAGGCAAAGCACAGGATAAAATCTAAGACGCACTGAATATGTACAAATATCGAAGACTTCCTAGGAGCAGATATTCCTATTCATGTGCATTCATTGAGGGTACTAATTTATTATAGTTGCATGATGACTGACACTTTAATGATATTCAGTTTAATCAGTTTATTTTTGATTGTTAAAATAAGTTCGATGTTTTAATAGGTCAGGCTTCATAAAAATCAGCTAGTTGAAACATTTTAGTTCATTCTTAAAGGATATAATTTTTATTTCTTAACTTTAGGAATTAGATTAATAGTCTTACTGTGCTATATTAGTTGATTGGGAGACAAATAACTGCCTAGTATCTCTTAGGAAAATGGACACTACTGTGGGTGTTTTTGAACCTATAAAGTTAGTAATGTGACTACAAATACACCTTATTTTACATTAAGGAGAATTGACATCTCTCCAAGTGCTCTGAGGAAGCATACTCGTTTAGCAGGGGAAGAGAGAGTTTTCAAAGAAGAAAATCAAAAGGTATGTTTTGGAATGTCCTTTTTTTTTTTCCATGTTAAGTTCAGCTTAGTTAATTAAATTGTACTAAATGTAGTTTTGCAAGGCAAAATGTTTACAGGTATCTTCTATTCTTGTAAATACACTATATATATTATAGTGTTCATAGTGTTCTTTCCTGGAAGAAATTAAGCTGACCCTGTACCAAGTATCTGAAGTTAAACCAAGAGTACATTTTGGAAATGCTAATGAAAGGAAAAAATTAGTTGTAAGAATAGACAATTAGTGGGTAGACAAAGGAAAATTATAAAATCAAAGATATAAATTATATTAGAGTTTCTATAGAGTTTTGAGGTCAGATGAATGAGCTAGAATAAATATTCCTTGATGTGTGTGTGCCTAAATTATTATTTTTAGGTTCATCACAGATAACAAGAAGTAATCCCTATGTTACTTGGCATTTTTGATGTGGATTCAGAAATAAGCATTCTAAGAACTGATTTATAAGTGAATGTTTGGAACAAAAACTATTTGTCAGTATTGGAATATTTATGGATTGGGGGAATGGCTTTTAAACTTGAGAAAGGAGCCTGTGAGAGATAGGCTTTGGAGGTGGGGAGGAGGCTTGGTGAGAATGGCATTAGGTGGTTAAGGGAACTCTGGTATACTCTAACAATTCAAATTTGACATTTGCTAGGTAGACTAGGTGACAGGCTATAAAGTGTCTAGTAGTAGAAATGTGGGGAAAAGTAGAAAGGGGAGTAACTTCCTGTTTTGAAAAGATAGGGAACTTAGAAGTACTGCACTGCTTGGTTCCAGTTCTGGCTGTCACTAAGTACTATGTATATAATTGGAAAATAATTAGCTTCTTGAACCTTGGTTTTCTAACTAGAAAAATTATTAGAATACATCTTTTTTGCAGAATTGTTGAATAATTGGACTATTTTGAAAACACTGGCATTTTTATTACTAGAAGCTATTTCTGACAGTGGTTGTATACAAATTGTTTAATAGGGCATGCTGTTAACTTACTAGATGTAGTATCTAGAGCTTACAAAGACTGGCTTTTTTTGCGTGGGGTATATTGATCTTGGAAAAACAGATTCTGAAAAGTGAATACTTTTTTTGGCTGTTATAATACCTTCAGTTCAATGTTGGTTAATTTTGTTTTCCCAACAATTTAGGCTATCCTCATGCTCTGTGTGATGTATTTTACTTTTCTCCTCCTTACTCAGACCAGATTTTGATCTGGAGGAGAAAGAATAACTGATGGATAGACAAGAGGATATGACACTGGTCTTTATCCTTAGTCTTCCTATCTGAATGAATAGTTTACATATGTTAATATGTAATTAATGTCCATATATAGTTTGCAGTTTACTTAGTAGTTTCATTTATATTATCTTGTTACCTGTGGACTTGGTAATAATACCTAGGTAAATAGCAAGTTTTTTGGTCTCTAGTAGCTTTTTTCTTTGTTACCCTGGGAGCAGATAGGTGAGTAGCTGATACCATTTGGAGATACATACTTTGAGTTTTATGAATGCCTATGAATATTAAAATTAGACTTCCCAGAGTAAATACGTCTTATTGTTGAATAGTAGTAGCAAGGATGTCCACATTGCTTAGCATCTTACTGATGTCTAATTTCTCTTCATTCCTAGATGCCTCTTTCCATCTTCCTAAATTATATAGTATTTGAAAAAGCAATGGAACAAGAAGGAGGTGAATTGTGACCCAGTTAAACTAATGTCCGTTGCAATACCTGAATTGAGAAAGGGCAGTATATAGCCCAAGATACTGAGTACAGGATTGTGAATAATCTTTCTGGCTTTGTTTCTACCCTTGTTCAACCTCAGTTGGTTTCATTAATCATATTCCACGTGCATGTTAATGGAAATCACAGAATTCTTACTTTTAAAGTGTTTTTTTATTGGGTTGCTCAGCTTACTTGGGAAGAGCTTGATGATAACGAGGCTTAACTAATGAGAACCATTACTTTAGGATCCCTTTACCTTTATAGGCAGAATGCTACATCACAACTTCAGATTATAACCTCTATCATTATTCAACTATTTAAGAAAAACAAAATGCCATTTGGAAGGATGAGGGATAATAATTACTGAGAATGTGCTGACGAGTAATATTTGTATTGTTTTACTGTGCAGAAGTTTATTATGGATTGTTTTTAATAGAAACCTATAAAATTCTCAAGATAAATAGCTTTTATTAACTTCTCTAGTCCCACTGCACCTGTGTACACAAATGTTTATAGTAAAAACAATCTAGTACATTTTTTAAACAAAAACTAAATATTATCATAGTATATTATATGATCCATTCTTTTCCGGTGCTAAAATGCCAGTTTAGAAACCAGCATAAAATTTAACTGTATTTTTTTCTATTTCTTCCCTGAAATCCGTATTTTACATCTGTCTTTTACAGGGAGATAAAAAATTAAGATGTGATTCCGCTGATCTTCGGCATGACATTGATCGCCGTAGAAAAGAAAGAAGTAAAGAACGAGGGGATTCCAAGGGCTCCAGGGAATCCAGTGGATCAAGAAAGCAGGACAAAACTCCAAAAGATTACAAAGAATACAAATCTTACAAAGATGACAGGTAATTGTTAAAGCTGTCTGAGTTAGGTTTTAGCTTCTAATTAGCCATTAATAATTGTCAGCTTAATTGCTTTCAATTTTGACTGTGCAATCGAATGTTTAAATTTAAACAATTAAAATTATTTGTTTTACAGCAAAAATGTATTTGTCTTTTACACGGCTTATGGTGGATGAGGACAAAAACTTTGGAATAGCAAGCTAACACTGAAAAAAAAATTAATGTGTCCTATTATCCAGGCTACATCAGGAGGTTGGACTTCAATGCAGTGCATTTCTAGAAACAGTTTGTGTAAGAACTTTGGTTCGTTATGCTTGATTCCGCACTTTTTCAACTCATAACACCCAGAATACAAGAATTTTAAACTGCTATCTAGTGGTTTAACATGGGAGAGATGCGGGGGGAGGAAGGACTAGAAATAGCAATGTGTATTAGTCTTTCAAAATGTTTCCATGGATACTGTTAGCAGTGGTAAGAGTTACTGCAGGTATGACCTTTCCGGGTGTTGTATTAGAATCTTGTAAATTTGAACATCATAGAGTCAAGTGAAAGGAATACCAAGTATTATTATAGATAATTTTTTTCTTGCTATTCATTAGGTAAATGGTGGATATTACTTGTGTCTTTTAATTTATGACTGTTATTTGTAATGTGATATGCTATCGTTTCTCGGCCTTTTGGCTAAGATCAAGTGTAATGGTTTTATTTCTATAATGGTGTTATGGCCCAAATCGTACCAACTGTTCTCACCTAGGGTGTACAGACTGCGGTCATTTTGAAACTTGGCCTTAAGAACATTCTTTCTTTGTCTTATTCTTCTTTTCTTTTTGTTAAAATAACAAAATATTAAATAAGTTAAGAATATTGAAGAATTGAATCTTACTCTTGATGTTTACAGATTATTAGTTTCTAACTGGCAGGCCATAGCATGTTTTTCAGTAGTGATGTAAACCAAATATTGAAGGAGAATGGAAACAGACTCTGTCAAAGTTTAATACCCAGTTATTTTACTTATGTAATACTTTTAATAGGGGATAGTTTTTTTTGACTTGTAAAATATCCCTTTTATTGTAAGATTCAACAGGGTCTTTATCTTTTTAAAAATAGCACATTTTTTTTGTTTTCTTTATTTTGCAGTAAACATAAAAGTAGAGAGCAAGATCATTCTCGATCTTCATCCTCTTCAGCATCACCTTCTTCTCCCAGTTCTCGAGAAGAAAAGGAGAGTAAGAAGGAAAGAGAAGAAGAATTTAAAACTCACCATGAACTAAAAGAGTACTCGGGATTTGCTGGGGTTAGCCGACCACGAGGAACCTTTGTAAGTAATAAAATTATCTTTGGTCATTTAGTAGGACTTTACCTTAGAGTACTGTACATAAAGAAAGTCACGTATAGATTTAGAGATTATTTGAGTCATTTCTTTCTAAAGTCAGAATTAGTCTTGAAAAATGGTATTTTTGAAGTATCTTCATTAAGAAATGCCTCTTGAGATCTAGAAGCATCTACGTATATACTTTGCTTGACTTTGAGATCAATAACTGTGCTTAGTCCGTAAAGACAAGAGTCAAGGAAATTTATTGAGATCCATTCCTTTAGTTAGTTTTTGAAAAGATATCTTAAAACATTGAAAAAAACCTGCATGTTCATCTCTGTATTAAAACTATTTTCATTTTTGCTTATTTTCTTCAAGTTCTTGCTTATGTATGTGTCTGTCATTCAGAGATCATATAACTTTCTTTTTATTCTACATAGCATTCACATTTGTCCCTATGTTTCCATAAAGTTGTTTTAATTACTAATGTAGTGACTTCACAGTAGTGCATCTTCTTGACTCTTTAATTTCTATATTCCTATTTCTACCTTGAGTGAGTATCTAGTTGGTTATTGGTATGGTCCATTAATTAGATCTTTTGGGAAACAGAAGAGTTTTGCTTATATGGTAATAGGTGTGGTTGATTACTTGGGGCCCCTATGATAATTCAAAGGAATTAGAAAACTAATTTGGCTAGTAAAAGGAAAAAAAACCCAACTTGATTATTTTAAGATATTAATTCGGATCATAAAAATGTGGTATTCCAACACTCAGACTGATTGTTTATTTCTTCTTAACTTTTCATCTTTCAGTAGGAGAATTTTTTTGCTTATGGTATAAATGGCCATTCTTTTTATCTTCACTGGCTATGAGATTTTGATAGGAAATTAGGGCATGTGTTTTTTGTTACTGCAGTAAAATTAGAGTTTGCATGTAACTAAATACCTTTTGATTGCATCACTAAACAACTTTGTTAATCAGTTTCGAATTAGAGGCAGAGGAAGAGCCAGAGGAGTTTTTGCTGGGACAAATCCTGGTCCAAACAACTCAAATACTACTTTTCAAAAGAGACCGAAGGAAGAGGAATGGGATCCAGAATATACCCCAAAGAGCAAGAAGTACTTCTTGGTGGGTGTTAGAAATCTGTGTTTATTTGGTTTGCATTAATTTTCAAAGCATACTAAGTGAATACATTTGAGTACAGATATCCAGTACTATGAGAAGATTTCACCATAATGTGGGAAACTTTTAAAAAAATTCATTACCCAGATGATTTGAAGTTTTGAAAATGTGACTCCCTTTTGTCCTGTTTTTCTTTATTGACATCACATATAGGCTGATCAAGGTAAACTTAAAAATATACCTGATTTGATGGCCACATTCAGAGAAAAACATTATAGTCGAGTTTAGCATATGTTTTATATCTGTCTGAAGACAGTGACAGTTGTAGAAACTTCCAATTAAGATGTACCTTCCATCATCACAGCTGTTTGTTTAGATAAAACACAAGGAGAAGAATTCTTTCAAGTACTTGTAATTAAGCATCTCAAGGAGGCTGTCAGCCTTCATTGGAGTAAAAGGAAGATGAAAAATTATGTTATGGAAAAGTTGCTTGATACATTGATTTGATGCTTTCTTGTGATGGAGATACTTTTCTTTCTGTAGTTTTCCAAGGATGAAGCTAGAGGTGATGGATCCCAGAGGATTCTCTGGATAAGGACAGAAATTTTCTGCAGTTTGGCACGGGGAAAAGGATCAGTTATATATTATAGAGGCAGACTTAAGAAAATGCCAAAACTATTACCAGAAGTATTTATTCTTGTCATAGCTTTTCAGGGAAGTCTAATTTCAGAGACTAGTTTTGAAAACTAGTTACTTGGTGGAAGCAAGGAGGAAAATAGCACTGGACTTACAGAATTGTCTTTCAATTAACTTTTTTTGAATGTATTTGAATAGACTTAAAAGTCCATGACATATCTGCTTAGTTGGAGGTTATATCTGTATTCTGATGTGGATCTCTATTTTGTTTGGAAAATGGACATATGTGTTTCAAAAATTAATTTCCATTTGCTGCTTTTTTTGGTGTGTTATTCAGAAAAGTTAAGTTTTACAGAGTCATCTGTAATGTTTGCTCAATTTATACTTCTCTGAGGAGAAATTTATGCTTGATCTAGTTGCTTGAGTTGACAGTCTGTAAAGTAAAAGGCATTTGATTCAGTTACAGAAAAGTTTAAAAGATATATCCACATCTTATTTTGGCAGCTGGCTGGTAAGGGGATCCTAACCCTTGACCTTGGTCTTATTAGTACTGTGCTCTAACCGACTGAGCTAACCAGCTAGCCCACAGATATATCTACTTTTTGACTTAAAAAGTATGCATTAACAGACTACCATTTATGCTAGGTACTAAGGATGGAAAGACAAATATGATTTGGTTCCATTTCTTGGCTTAGAGACTAGTAGTAGAGAAACAAACATTCTAAATATATTTAAGGGCTTTTCCCAAATGAAAAATTGATGGATTTTTGCAAAGGAGAAAGTGATTAGGAGAGATTTTCTTAGAGGCATGTGGCTTGAATCTTGAGCTTTAAAAAGATGGTCATGTGTACTCCATATAGCAGAAGGAGTGAAACAGCATGGTATAGAGAATTCCAACTCTCAGATGGCTATTTGGTTGGTATAAATTTGGGAAAATTGAGAAAAAAGCAAGAGCCAAATTGTGGAGGGCTGTAATACTTTTAAAGAAATATGGGTTTTAAGCAGGGTTTAAAAGAAACATGGTTGTTAGAGCAGTTAGAAGATTTGAAATATATTGAGTGCCTGAACTAAGGGGCCAGGTTTAAGAAAAATTAAGAAAGTAGCATTTATGGAGACTTACTTAGGGATCATCTAGTTCTGTGTTGGTAATGAGAGGAAGGAATTGAAGATAAACAATCCAGAGGAAAGACGACCTTTGAGAAGAAGATTAAATTCTGTTCTGGACAGGCTGAATTTGAAGTGCATGGGAAAAATCAAGTGGAGATGTCCAGTGGGATAGTTGCTAATGCAGATTTAGAGAGAAAAAACCTAGGAGCCATCATCTTACAGGTCACCCTCAAAGCTGTCAGAAGATCTTCTGACTAAGATCACCTAGTCAGAAGAAGTTACAAGACCATTTCAAAGGTGGGATGAGTTAGAGACGGTAAAAATGCCAGACAAGTAGACCAAGTATGAAAGGTCAAAAAATTAAGAGGGAACGAGAAGTGAACAAGTAGATAATAATTGTTTACCACTTTTTTTTTTTTTTGTCTTTTTCTGTGTCCGGCAACAGATCGCAACCCTCAGTGTTGCCCCCGTACCGGACCAGGGACCGGCAACGGGATTGCAACCCTCGGTGTTGCTCCCGCTCCTCGCTCAGCCAGTGAGCGGGAACCGGTCTGTATGTGGGATCCGAACCCTCGGGCGGGAGCGCCGCCGCGCTTCCCAAGCGGCGCACTTATCCAGTGCGCCACCGGGCCGGCCCCAATTGTTTACCACTTTTAACAATTTACAATTATGTATAATTTAGGCCAGACTTTCATTTTTTCATGGCATTCTTTCAGAATCTATCAAAGTTTTTACCTTAAATTGCTACATAGTCATTTTAGGTTGGTTTATAATTATGCAGTAGTTTTATTAATCATGAAGAATATGTTATTTTAAGAATTTAGACACTTGCAAGTAGCAGTAATACTTTATATATTGCTTTTCTGGGCTATATTTAAAAATCTTGGGTTGTATATAAAACATACACATTTCATTTGTCACAGACTAATGTTCACTAGAATATCAAGTACAATTAATATATTGATACATTTTTCCCTTATAAATCAATTCCCAAAGTTAATTATTTTGGTTCTTGATTATGAGCCATTGAAATGGCAACTTCTGTTTCTGCATAGATTTTTTATTTTGCGGGGGGGTGGGCAGCTGGCCAGTTTGGGGATCCAAACCCTTCACCTTAGTGTGCGTAGATATTTGAATTTAACATATTTTGCATCTTATGTAAAGATACTGTGATCTTTTAGATAGCTAATGTTGAGGATGGAAATATAAATAAAAACATAATTCAGAAGAGAGTTTAAAACTAGACATTCCCTTATGGTCTTTCAGAATAATTGACCAGTGTAGAAATTTTGCTCATATTGATGAAACATTAATACTTAGTATTAGATAACAGCATTATGTGCTATGCTAGGTGCTATTCTAAGTGTTTTACATGTATTTACTTATTTAATGATTATAAAATCCTTTTGAGTTTGGTGCTATTATTTAATTTTTATAGAGGAAAAAAAACTGAGGTGCGGAGATTGAATAGTTTGATCAAAGTTATGTGGCTAGTAGGAATGGGGTCAGGATTTGAATCTATGTGTTGGGCTCCAGAGCCAGGGTTATGAAATACAGTAGCCCCTTCATCTTCTAGTACTGAGTTATAGTAACCTTTCTATCCTGAAATTTCCCAACTCAAAACTTGGATTTATACAAAGGTATGGTAAAGTTTTCAAAAATAAGAACTCCAGGGAAGATACTATTTTCAGTTTGAACTTGAAATTCTGTGGAGGGGTGAGTATGAAGAGTTGGAGGAAGTGGGAAAGTACTGAAGTGGGCAAGTTCTCAGTGTTGAGTTGATTTTGTCTTCTGAGTAATCAAAAATCTCTGAGGAAGTGGGGATTAGGATGAGAGTTTTGATAAATTAACCTTTTGAAACTTTATCATTTCTGTGGAGGAGAGAGAAAAGGATTCAGAAAGTCTTGGTTCTGATATCTCCTTTGTTAACATATTTTTAGCTGTGTATAAATATCTAACTGCTGGCCCTTTATCATCTGTGAAATTAATTTTTAGAATCGTAATGAGATCAAAATCTTGGATGTAAGAGTTTGTGGATTAAGAGTATGTTTAGCATCAAAAATCTCAATTAGGTGTATACGGCCAGGATACAGCCTGAAAGACAGTTTAATCTAGCTGCTGTTTTCTTTACCATGTTTCAGATGATTGTATATCTAAAGTAATGGAGAGTTTAGCTCTAGTGTCTAGCTTTGCTACTGCTTTTTTTTTTTTTCTTTCTTTTTTTCCTGGTAACTCTTAGCTCCTTGCTGTGGTAATCATTTACTGCCACCAGTATATCTGGGAAATGTATTCTGTGGGTGACTGGCGTAAGGGGTAGTAGAAAGGACTAGCTCTGTGGCTTTGGGAATGTGAGTTTCTGTGCCTCAATTTCTTTATCTCTAAAATGGAGATAGTAACTATTTACAGGGTTGTTGTGAGGAGTAGATGAGTAAGTACATGTAAAGTGCTCAGAACAATGCCTTATCGATAATAAGCACTGTAGAAACACTATTATTACCACCATTTACTGAGTGCTTGCTTGTCAGACACCAGACCAGGCACTTTTAATTGATCTTCTGTGTTTCCTCAAGGTCATTTTCCTTTATTAAAATGGGGAGGCAAATACTAGAGAGGTTGCCTAAAGTCAATTTCTTTTAAGATTAAAACTCATGCCTGTACTCCAAAACCTGTTTGCCTCTTTCCATAAATCCATACAATATTGTGTAAATACCACAAACAAACACAGACCCTAGAGTTGGGTATGTTAGTATTAATGCCATAACGGAGCATGAAATCATATAATTGAGTCAGCATCATTTTGAGTGGCAGACTATTTTAAAATACTTTAAAATAATCTATTTTAAAATACATTGTTTATTTTGGATCTGCTATTAAATGCTCTCTAATATATTTTAATTTATACTTTTGATAGTTCCAGAATTCATTCTTTATGGAGTTTTCCACACCTCTAGCTAGTAATCTATTATTAATTTGGTAAAGCTGTATTAGGAATTGGTAAGTGCTCTTTTATATAGTCTAATTATCTGTATAATTGAGCTTTTCTTCAAGTCATGGAAGAGAGTAATCCGTATTAAATAAGCACAAAGGCATATTCTGTGTTTTGAAAAAGGTGTTCATATCACATAATTTTTAAACATTTTAGTGGCTTTTGGACAGTTTTGGACAGTTAATACCAGGGCTCCATAGCTTATGTACCATTCTATTTGCATTGTGCCCATTTTTTCTTAAAGGGGCATCATTTTGCCTTAAAGAATTAATAAGTTGAGGAAGGTAGCAGCTAGTTAAATTAGGTACAGGAGATCTTTGGCCTTCTGTTTTGTATTTTGGAATGTAATATTCATCTTTACTCATCTGCAAAATCAAGAACTGTTCAATTTTGCAGATTGTTTTGCTTGATAGAACAATTTGTAATTTGGGGAACATCTGTCTTTGAATACAGTTAATGAAAAATTAAGGTCGGTGTGATAGCTGCAGTACTTTAGGTGGTGAAGAAAAAAAAAGCTGAGGTATTATTATTCTAGGGACCATGCCATCATGATTTGTCATTGAAACTCCCTAGCCCAGAATATTGATGTGTACTATACATTGATGTAGGTTTAAATCTCAGTAGGATTTTAAAATCTACTTTTATATGTAAGGTATAAAATTCATACCATCTATTTTATGTAGTGAATGTTGTTTATAATATTGTAATGACATTCTTATGACTTTTGCCACATCTTTATGACAAAGGTAAATTTTGATGGGAAAAAAATTGGTTATTTTATCTCATACCTGCAGCATAATAAATGTACTTAGATTGAAATAATAACAGAAAGCAAAATAGACTTCTGAAAATTAGTGGTAATTTAACAGTTGATATTCTTCAGATAACTGGGCAACTCTTCAGTGTTTGGGTTACTAAGTAATAAGATGTAATCATTCTCTTTGACAATAGAATATATTTTTGTTGAAAAGTTTAGCTTTATTGGTTTTGTTTTACTTTGTTTTGTAACATTACCAATCATATACTCAGTCTTCAGAGGATTAATAATATGATTTATGATTGGAGAAGTAATCATCTTTACAAGAAAGACATTTCATTGACTGTTGTTTTTCACCTTTCCGTAGCATGATGACAGAGATGATGGTGTGGATTATTGGGCCAAAAGAGGAAGAGGTCGTGGTACTTTTCAACGTGGCAGAGGGCGCTTTAACTTCAAAAAATCAGGTAGCAGTCCAAAATGGACTCATGACAAATACCAAGGGGATGGGATTGTTGAAGATGAAGAAGAGACCATGGAAAATAATGAAGAAAAGAAGGACAGACGCAAAGAAGAAAAGGTAAATTTTAATTTGTAATTCTTTCAGATTTTCTTTGGTATGGTTTTGGTGGGCAAATTAGTTAATTATTTAATTTTTAGGAATAGTGATTATTATGGTTCATTTTCACTCTCCACATTGTTGTTAATCTTTAATTTCTCCTTCTTTTTTAGGAATAGTGAATTTGAAATAAGATTGGAACAGAGAGCAGAACTTGCACCCACCATTTTTTTTTTTACCTGATTTTTGTTTTCAAATAAGAATGTAAGCATTTTACTTAAATTTTACTGTTTGCAAGTAGTCCATAGAAATTTTGTTTTAAGTCTTCAAATATCTTGAAAAATAGTAGACTGTATGTTGAAAATTGTACTGAAATAAAGTAGAAAATTGTTACGTATCATATTTGTAACTATCAACTTTTAAAAAAATACCTTTTACTGTTTTTGTTACATGCATTGTAATTCTGCTTTGTCTATAAGATATGGTCAAGTACAGCTCTGTGAAAGTTCTGATTCTCTTCCCTCCCTGTTTGTTAATGTTTTATTCTGAAGTGAACGTTAGCTCTACATAAAAATCCCCAAACAGAAATTGTTTATAGAGACCACATTAATTATTTTAACTGTATACATTTGTTTAACCTTCTCTTTAATTTGAACACACTACATTATAGGGTGACTAATTTTTGAAGTATACCACAGACAGAATTAGAATTGTTACTTTGGTAAACTAAGCTAGTTCAGCACTTCAACAAATGTTTAAGAAGGAAAAAAAGCTTGGCCAATAGCTGAAAAGTACAAGCTTTTAAAAGATAGTTTGAAAAGTTTGAGAAAATGTTATTTTTACTGAAAACAAACAGTGGCCTATAATAAACATTCTTAGGAGCCTTTCCTATTTGGGTTCAAAGTTCAGTGTTCTCTTTCTAATTTGAGAGTTTGAGTCATGGTGTCAGATATCAGCTACTTGAGAGAGGAAACAGGTTTGTAATAATACTGAAAATAAAAACCCCATTCCCACCAAATGTGTTAGTATTAAAATAAAACCTGTAATCCTGGATTATTCTGAAGAATAATTTAACACATTAGTACCTGATTTCATCTCTTATATATTTATTTGAGCTTTTGGACAGCGGAAACATTATTTTGTAGTGTAGCCATAAGAAAAAATAGGCAAACACAACATATACTGTTCATTAGTAGTATTTTGAATAACTTGTTTTTCAAATGTCACCAATAAAAAGTTTTGGCAGGAGCTTGTTGCAGCATTGATCTAATTTGTTTAGTTGCAGTTTGTAAAATGGCTTTTTCTTTTTGTTCCCAAGATTTCTATTCTTTAGGTAGAAAATCTTTTCAAATGTGAATTAGTTTTTATGTGTTGATAATTCTTACAGGTATGAAAATCTGAAGTAGTAAATTTCAGTGTTAAGTCTGTCTGCTTTATGAGCATATTTAAAACTAGCCACATTTCACTTGTTAATTCAGCCCCCTGAATTAGTTGTGTATGTTTGCTTTAAAAGGAGATAATTCTTGTTTGATTAATGTAAACTTTAAAGATCTAAAGCCTGTGGCTCTTTCATCCTCACTTGATGATTTGCAGTGCATCTAACACCTCGATTCCAGCCAGGGACACTTGGTAAGAGCTGTTGGAAACAAAACTTAACAAAACCCAAACTCAGTATGTGTGATGTTTATAGCCCTAAGATCCTTAGTGTACTGCATGATTTCTTCCATTAGTTTTGTCTTTCTGAAATTGTCTATTAAAGCAGAGGATATACCTGCCAAAGCAAGTTATCAGGACATAACTAATATTCCCCTATTCAGAAGAATACTTCCTTACATGTTAAAGCAACATGGATTTGATCCCCAGTACAGAATTTTTATGATCATTTTATTTTATACAAATAAATATAGCTTTTATTTGAACAGTTATTATTTGGTTAGACACCATCTCTGTGCATGACTATAAATGTGCAGTTTTGCTTATCCACTTAAGACAGTAAGAAAAAGGAGATTTGCTGAGAAATTATTTAATAGGGAGTGGGAATAAGGTACTTAAATCCTGTGGTTAGGTTCCATTTTCCATGCAAAGTCATTGCTTTAACCTTTGGTTACTTTTCTCTTAAAATTGAGGAAAGAGTATCCTACCAGAATATAGTAGGACAGGGTGATGTGAGAACTCTGCAATAGAATGCCATTGTGGATGTTATCTTTTTCAGAGCCAAGCATATAAAAAGTAGCCTGTGTGTATTTTTTTCAAACTACAGTTTAACTTCACACTTTATGACATGTTATAAAATCTGAACAGTTCCTCTTGGTAAGGATATTTGTTTACAAGTGCTGGGAAATAACTCTTCACTACCACATTAACAGACTTTGTTTTACCTAGAGAAGGGAAATAAAAATGAACCAAAGGATATTTACAGAAAGGATTGAGAAAGCTGTTTAAGGAGGCCATGACTCAGTTCGTAGGTGTGTATGCCTTTCAACATCTTAGTAATTTTGCAATTTACTTCAAGGGATTACTGTTGTTCCCTTTTGTCACAGTTAAAATCAATGTTGGGAATTAAATTATAATTTGAGAAAAAAATATTCCCCACTAAGAATGAATGTAGATGGCTAAACGATTCTTACTCAGTGTGATGTATAATGCAACAGGGACCCTTGTAAATTGTCATATGCTAATAAAATGTCATAAGTGGTTAATAGCTGTTGTTTATCTTTTTGAGACTTTTGCTATGTTTTTCTACACAACTGATTTCTATGGCCTACTTTTTAGATTTTAGAACATGAACTTACCTTTTAACAAAATTACTGGTGTGGTGTGGCTTGATAAACGCTTTATGAAATCCCTCAAACTCCTATTTACTGTTTTTTTTCTTATTTTCCTTGTGAAAATGGTTTGAAATTGGTTAAGTCTAAGCCTTTATTTAAAAATATAGGAATTCCAGATTTCTAGTTTAGTCCTCATGTTCCTATGTTAACACAGGATCTTACCAGCCATAATATTATGATGGAGATTAATTCCCTTCCTATCTGAAAATATGGTTGTTATTTAATAACTGAAAGGAATTCTCTTTTTCAGTTAGTCTTTGTTCACTTTGAGTAAAATCTGGTATAATTCTTATGCTTCACTTATAAATTACTTGAAATACAATGTGTGCCATTCCATCAACTTTTAACAAAGCATTTTCACAGAAATTCGTATGCTAAAACAAATTGATACATTTTGACTCATACAAATGGTAGATTATCCCTTAAAAACTTTGTTAGAGAAATAAGAACTGTGTGTGTGTGTGTGTGTGTGTGTGTGTGTGTGTGTGTGTGTGTGTGTGTGTAAAAGATGTGTAAGATCATTGGTAGCTTAACTGGGTAATTTTATTTTTTTGGTGGCTGGTCGGTACAAGGATCCAAACTCTTGACCTTGGTGTTATAATATACTGAGAAATTTTAATGTTACATACAAGCTTCCTGTGTAAAATTATACTATGTTATTTATTAGGCATGTTACTTTTATTTTTATTTTTCTGTTTCAATATATTGTATATTCAACAGTATATCTTTTGGGATATATCTTAAGTTTCCATATAGAACAGTACCCTTTCACAGTCAAAAAGAGAAGTATAGGGCCGGCCCAGTGGCGCACTGGAGAGTGCGCTGCTTGAGAGTGTGGCGGCGCTCCCGCCGAGGGTTCGGATCCCATGTGGAGACCAGTTGCCGCTCACTGGCTGAGCGCGGTGCGGGCGCAACACTGAGGGTTGCGATCCCGTTGCCGGTGTCCGGTACGGGTGCGACACCGAGGGTTGCGATCCCATTACTGGTCAGTAAAAAAGACAAAAAGCAAAAAGAGAAGTATAGAGGCCTTTCTCAGTTTGTGAAGTTGCTAAATAGGGAATGCAAATGGAGAAATAAACTACACTGTCATGGGATTATAATTGGCTAGACTCAGTCTCTTGAATGTGCCTTGAATTTAGAAAGTAATATCTGTTATGTGGGTTTAGGGTTCTCAAATAGTTGAAACCATTATTGTTAAATCTGAATGTCAAAGGTCTGATTGCTCATTTTATTGAAGTAGATACTAAAAATCAGAAGTCTTTTAATGAAGTTTTAAGTGAACAGGATTTATTACTCAGTTTCTTAGAAATCAGGAATGTATGGAAATTATTTGTTGTATCCCATTGTCTGACTTGGGAGCTTTAGAGATTGTGTTGATTTATGAGCTGTTCTTATGTTTAAGAAACATGCACTAATGAGGAGTGTGTCAGTTATGCTCATGAGGCCAAAATTGTATGTTTAATTAAGGATGCTAATTCTCTTTATATTACATTACAAATTATGCCTTAGCCTTTAAAAAAATGGATCTCATGGAGTAAAAAAGAAAGAGTAGGCATTAGGACACCTGTTCACTACCACTACTAGAAAAGAAATCCAATTAATGTGTCTTTTTTTTTTTTTTTTTTTTTGGTGACTGGCTGGTACATGGATAGAACCCTGGACCTTGGTGTTATCAGTAGCATAGTGTGTCTTAATAATCTTTATATAGGAAAAATATTTTTCCTATAGACATTTTAGGTATTACATGACAGTGAAGTGATTTGTAGAGCTTTTAAAATGCAGAAGATAATATGGACTCTTGAAAATATAAAAAAGTTGGGCAAACAGGCTTTCATGGTACTCCCCCAAGAATTGGAATCAAATTTTTCTTAATCTTTTGAGGTTGCCCAGCTTCCTGATTCAATAATAACGAACCCTTCCGTTAATAAAAGTAGATGATGGTAATTACACCTTCCAGTTAGGTGACTTTAAAGGATTTATAGTCACAACATGAACTGTGAATTTGACAGTGGTAACTTCTTGGTGCTATTATAGTGATTGCACATTTCATGGAATGCAAAGAGCCACAGTAAATAATATCATTCTAATCCTCCAGAAGAGTGGTTTAGTTGCTACCTTATCTAGTCTTTGACATGGAAGGTATGCATTTTTTTTTAGTCTTATTTGTACTAGAAAGGGAAAACTAGAATGTTAAATGCACTTTTAATTTTTTTTTTTTGAAAAGTTGAATATTGTTACTAAACGTACATATAAAAAGATAAACTGGTTAATGTCAGCTTGCAATTATCAAAATGTGTTGCAGAGGGCCGGCCCGGTGGTGCACTGCTATAGTGCGCCGCTTGGGAGTGTGGCGGCGCTCCCGCCGAGGGTTTGGATCCCACATACAGACCGGTTCCCGCTCATTGGCTGAGCGAGGTGCGGGAGCAACACCGAGGGTTGCGATCCTGTTGCCGGTCCCGGTCTGGTACGGGCGCGACACTGAGGGTTGCGATCCGTTGCCGGTCACGAAAAAAGACAAAAAGGAAAAAAAAATGTGTTGCAGAAATAGAATTATGGAGTATTATTATCTCAACAGTCAGCTTTGTGAGTCGCTAAAGTTCAAATACTGCAGTTAGGGCATTTCCCAGCTGTGAGAAATGACTGTCTTTTAAAATGTAATTTGAATTTGTACTTTTAATTGGAAATGGGATAGAAGAGCCATGAAAGTCTTTGATAGGACTTGGAGTAAAAAATTGATGACTTCTCATAGGAAAAAATAATAGTTCTATCCATGACTTTCTGGGAAACTAAGTAGAGTATTCTACATTACTCAAGAGTATTTTCTAGTTTTCAAAGTATTATTTTGTTTTCCTTGATATTCCTATAATCTTCCAAATTTATAAATGTGGATGGTTTTTGCTCTTTACAAAAGGTGAGGCTCAGGTAACAACTCAATTCTATAACTAAAATGTTTCTGGAATCTCAGCTTTCGATGTAAAACTCCAGTTGGAGTGTGGAGAGGTCAGATATTTGGGATAAAAGGCATATGGCTTTTAATGTAGTTACAGATGAAGCTGTCTGGCCCGCTCAAGATCAGTGTATCTTGATTTTATCCTATGTCCCTGACTTAGGCAACAATAAAAATTTCTGACTTAGAAAATAGTCCATCTGAGGCCGGCCTGTGGCTCACTTGGTAGAGTGCGGTGCTGATAACACCAAGGCCACGGGTTCGGATCCTATATAGGGATGGCCGGTTTGCTCACTGGCTGAGCGTGGTGCTGACAACACCAAGCCAAGGGTTGAGATCCCTTTACCGGTCATCTTTAAAAAAAAAAAAAAAAAGAAAAGAAAATAGTCCATCTGTATAGGAAAAACTTCAGAGCTTGAATTGGCCATTAGTAGCTAAATCAAAGAGGGAAATAGGGTACATAATTCTCACTGTCTAAATGAAAAGAAGCTATTTCTGAGAAACAACTATTCCTGTTTCCAAAACTCAAGATATATCTATACGTATGTGTATATATGTATATATACATTTGTATATATATATGTATATATGTATTTCTGTAGGCCCTATCCTTTTTTTGAATGAGGCTACAAATAATCAGATTACTGCATAAAACGGGATTCCTTTAGTAACTCTTCAATACTTTTAAAGATCAAGATATATCTCTGTCTTTCACTAATTCAGAGTTTATAAATCCATATCTTTAAATCTTAAAACCCTGATTATATGATATTTAGACATCCCTCTACTAAACACTGATTGGAAAATTTCCACATTTAAGAGACGGTTCGCATCTCTTTAGACACATTCTATGTTGACATTTTTTAACATAACTTTCTAGTAGGCCAGACAGTTATCAGTCCTGCACTGTGTTACATTAAGAGACTAGAGTGAAAACTAGATTGAGTATTAACAGGTCTGAAGCAGATTCACTGTGGAGAAGGGTCAAAAATAGTTCTCAAATACACTGTCCAGTAGTAAATTTGATATGTGTAACAGCCACAGTCTGTCTTGAATGGTACTGTTGTCACAGGCCATTTGGTAATCTCAACCGTCATTAAGTAAAAGGACATCAGAGCCATAATTAAAATGATAATACCAGCCAGCCACCAAAAAAAAGTGGGTTAAAAAATTGATCTAAGTCTTGCCTGGCTAAATAATGGTCACAAGCATCACTGTTTAACAAAACCATATGATAACATAGACAATGTTAATCCTGAGTCATAAAAGATTAGTTGGAAATGTGTGATTATAGTAAAGATTCTAATAAAAAAGTTTAAAGGGTTAAATATGAGGGTACTTCAAAAAGTTCATGGAAAAACAACAGATAATATGAATCCTTTCAGGAACTTTTTGAAGTACCCTTGTGTTAGTATGGGAACATCCATTCTAATACCTCAAAATCCCCCAACAGTGCCAACACAGTACTAAGTTGAATTTATTTCAAGTTCATCAAAGAATATTTATTACAGAAGAGGAATTTTAGATGAAAACTGATAATCTCCTTAGTTGTTTAAGTTTCTGGCATAAGGTATTATAAGGATTACATTAGGATAAATATAGAAGAAAATTCTAAGTGATAGAACTAAACTTGTCAGTGCTAATTATTATTCATTTCCAACTATCAATAAGATTCCTCACATTAAATTATAAATCACTTTCTATTCAAATTCTTTAAGCTTAACATCATACCAAGTTCTCTTGACATTTTACCATTAGGATATTCCAGTAGATAACTAAAAACTTAAACAATAGGGAGTAGAAAAGCAATACAAATTTAGTTGTAAAAAGTTTTCATGGTGCAGTCATATGGTTAGTCTTAAATGTGTTTTAGCACTTCAAATCCATGACTTGAAAGCTATTGTCTTCATGGCTGAGTTTAAAA